AAAAAACAGCACCAAACTGTCACTCATTGGGTGCGTTCGTTAATAGCGGTCGCTCTGCGTCTCCGCTACTATGGGAGTGCGCTGCTGTTTGTAGGCATTTAGGAACCACGGCGAAAGAAAGAGAGATGGCGGCGCCCGCACTATCGATAGTAACCTGATGGAGGAATCTATAATTCTAAAATATGAGCTTTTAAAGTCAAAAGAACAGTCCCAATTGTAAAATTTAACCATAAAATGAATTATTTGTTGAAAGAGCATTCAAAATAGCCATGAAAAAAATTAGAATGCCGGCTACTATCCGAAAAAATTCGAAAAGACACATCACCGCGTGTACTAACTTGCGCTTTCACAACTTCTAAATTTTCATTCATAAAACAACATAATGGACCCAGAAACGAAACCGTCTGAGCCATGGAGGACGCCATGTTGCTTTCCACGCAAACTACTGCTTGAAGTCGCCGTTTTTGCCATTCGAAATTCCGGTCGGAGAGCGCGCGACAGGAATTTAGGAACGCGTTCCGCAGGAATTTTTAAACGGATGTCGCTCGCGCGGAGTTACGCGGAGGAATAAAAGAACGCACCCATTGTGATTGGAAAGGTTGTTCGACTATTTCTCTTGGGTTTTCGGAGCCCCAGATTCCACAGTTTTGCTTGTTTACGTACCCAGACAGATGAAAATGAGCCTCATCACTTTACAAACCGTCTCTGCGATATTTTCACCATTTTTGTAGTGAATTTTCGCTATTTCAATGCATTGTGCGAGTATATCGATCCATATCTGAAAACCTCCTAGTTTTTACTTGTCAAACGTCACCGCAGTGAGTTGTATGTTGACAGTCGAAAAATGGCGCGAAATTTAACATGACACCTCTTGTTGAAAGACCCGTTATATCTATGTAAGACATCACATAATTTGTTTTAGTTGTTAAAGTGTAAGGATTGATTTAATTACTTAAAACTCCTACGGAAATTTAAAAAATCTTCATCCCTATTTCTCTTTTCGAAATATTAATTTTTCATTAAACTGTTCTCATTAAATAAGTTTAAAAATAAATTTAACAGAAAGTGGAAGTCCACATCATTGGCGATTTTTAGTTTTTATCTCCCGAAATCTCGGCAGTCAGCTTTTGTGTTGTCTAGAAAACGCCAGCAGTTGCGCCACTTCCGACCGCATCTTACTGGATTGATGCTGAGGTTTTGAATACACCCATAATTTTAATAAAAATAACACAACAGAGTTTTTATACAGATTTCGACTTTATTTCCAATAAATTCAATAGTGATAAATTTGATTAACTGAAATAAATGTTTGAAGCGTTTTTTATTTTGCATTCACTTGACCTGATCTTTTCAGAGTCGACCAGGAGGAAGAATAAAACGAAAAATTGTCCCGGGTCCCGAACAATTAGAAATGTCACTATGTACTTTGTCACAGCTCCATTACCCGCTGGACAGCCCCGCATTTTGGTGTCTCAATGATATTGCACTGAGGCCTCCAAGAGTAAATGAGGGCGTGTCTAATATTTTTCTCCTTAAATTCATTTTTAAAAATTAATATAAATTTATAAGATGCAGATTTTTCTTAACTCTCTCTGCATTGTGGGTAATAAGGCCTTTTTGCAAGCTCATTATGGATTCGGCCAGGCCCACAACAGAGCAGCCAGTGGGTAGAGACAAGGCAACATACCTGAGATGGACAAATCAAGATGATCCAAAAAATTCCTGAAATTTTTCGAATCATCTTGATTTGATCCTGGATCCCCAAAGTGATAGACTGCCACCTTAACCAAATGACCATCTAACCATAGAAGATGCAACAATTCAATGTAAATGACATTAACTTTACTTTTGAAATAATCAAAATATCAGGCCCACCAGTGGCTGAGTGGATAAAACCACTGGACACCGGTAGTTTGTCGTGGGTTTGTGCCTCGCCAACGGGCTGGCCGTGTGGAGTTTTCCAGGTTTTATTCACGTCAGTAACACCTAAATAGGAGCCAGTTTCTCATAAAAGACCTCCCGGGAAGCATTCCCCTCAGGAGATCGCCCATGTGTTGCGTTGCCGTAGCCTATACAAATAAACCAATTCAATCAAAACAGCAGAACACTGCAAACTTTTTTGTATATTAACTTACACATTGATCAATATATACAATATATACTATTATATATGTTTATAATAGAAATATATAAAATATAGAACAAGATTTCAATTACTCAGACTTAATTTGAAAGTTGGTGTTCTTTTTTATTTAAATTTGTTGTATTTGAAATTCTGCTAGAATGTAATTCAATGCTTGATGGTTTGTAGAACAAGCCAAAAACCTTTGTTATTATTAAACGTTTTCCTCGGCAAAATACGGTATTGTATGTGACTGTAAAGTAATTTGAAAGCTTTTTTTTGAATTTTTTAATTCAATGATTGGGTGGCCAAGACAGTTAAAGCACTACTTTGGGAGACTTTAGATCAAATCTGGGTGGGCCATCCCTGGAATTTTTCATGGATGGTAGTCAGCAAGTTCCAACCAGATAAATTAGGCCTATCCTTCACCACTTGGTCATCAGCCATTGAGAGCCTGGCCAAACCCATGATGATATCCTTAAAAAGCATTCATTTTTCTCTCTCTGCTCACAGGGCAGAGAGAAAAATGAAGTATTTCAAATATAATAAAATCACAACTTAAAGAAATATATTAAGCAGAATAGACGGATGCCATTTCAGCACATAGTAAATAGAGAGGAATAAAAAGATACTGTTTGTTTAGTGGTTAGCCAGTGTTATGGCTTATGGTTTTGCAGAACACAAGATGTGTAATAAAGTTCCTATTAGTGAGATATGAATAATTTTGACTGTTACATGATATTAATGTTCAGAACAGGCCCAAAGAAAAGTGGGGCCTGCTGCAAAAATTCTACTATGTGGTCTTGTGAAAAGTCAAGTTTTTCTCTATTGTTATGGCCTAGGTAAGTGTGGAACCCTGTCAGTATATCATTCACACTGCCCTCAGGATAGTTCTACTAATGTTTTAAATAAGAAATAATTATACATTGTCTTAGTTACATTATACAAAAATTTGTTTCAAATAATTCTTTGTATAAGATAATAAAAGCATTGTATCTTTTAATTTCATCCTATTGATGAAATTCATAGTCTTTACATAACAAACAAGGACATTCTGTCTTATATAAAAAGAACTGTTTCAATTTCTGTATAAGTTCTCATAATGTCATAATAAAATTATTATGGCACTGCATCATATAACTGGGATAAAATAGCTTTCAAAAAATATTTTACTTTCAAGATGAATTAATCAATGCATCTTTAATAGTGTGAAGTTTAAAGAATGCTAACATTTTTGATCCAGTTAATAGGATATCTTCAGAATTCAACTGAATATCTACAATAGCTCCAAGATGTATTTTTGCAGTATCTAAATTTACAATTCAATTTTTTATTTATATCTTGGATGAAATATAATGAATGTGTTGTAGACAGTGTAATTCCCAACATTATGTTTTTAATCTTTTTTTTTTTTATTCACAATCTTTTATATTTTAAGAAATCTTTTATCAACTGAAGTGGATTGTTTGTAAGACAATAGGTCAAAATACATTTTGTGAAATAAAGGCTGAATTATCTTATGGTATTTTATTTTATTTCATAGAACCTTTTATCAATTAAGGAAGATCATTCTTAAGAGAATATTTCACATAATGCATTTTAACTTAACTTAAAGACTAAGAAGTTGCTTGTTGGTGACAAGTTTATTTTTCCATTAAAAAAAATGATAAGGGATAAACAATAGTACTGAGAATTACACTATCTAAAACATATTGAATTCAAGAATATCCTCCACTTTTCTTTGTAAATGAAATGTGCTTAAAAAAAATAATTCCCAATTCACATTTAATGAAGCTATTTTTGAATTACGAATTAATTTATTAACATTGTAGAGAGCATATTATATTAATAACAATATTTTAAACAACAGTAAAAATGTATCAATATTAAAATGATTAAATAGTATAATTGAATTTAAAATTTTATTTCAAACACAGATTTTATATAAAAATACTCTTGAATGCATTTTTATTAATTATTTTTATATTTGTATTTTTTAAACTTAAAATACATTGAACTATATAGATAACTAATTGTTATTTACATTTATTCAAAATATGAATAAATACATATTACTAACAATAATGTACATTATACAAACTTTTACGTTATATGCTATTACAAACTATAAATCACAATGATATATCATTTCATACATTTGTAATCATTCTATATTCAATGCTTTGTAAATGATTATAAATGTAAAAAATTTATAATTGTGGTATACACACAAATGTTTAATATATTTTTAACAGTATTTTAAAACTATTTTATATACATATTAACAACATCTATATATATACTAATATATATTTATTTGAACATGAACATATTAATGAAAACTGAATTCAAAAAATTAACATTCTAGTTTATTTAATTTCATTAAAATGCAACATTTATTCAAGCTGTAATAATTCAGATATTTAGAAAGTTGCTAAATGAAATACAGTAGTGCGTTGATTTTGCGAATCAATTGGGGACTGGGGTTGTTCATATAATTGATATTTCGGATAACTGATTTATGTACGAAAAAATAGTTTAACGTATTTGATGTTAAAATTTTTATCCGTTGCGTGTCGCTTCGCGTTGAATTTTCGTCGATGTTAAGCCTAACAAAGACTATTGTATCGTTAAAAATTATTTTTTTATTTTGTACAAACAAAATAAATATATTGAAAAATATAAAAACAATAAAAAATTATACTTCAGAAGTTAATTTAGTATCAAAAACGTAAAATATTTGAGTAGCCCAAGACATAGCCAAAGATTGAATCACCACAGCACTGGCGGAAATTTAAATTTGCCGACTGGAATTCTTTCAGATGAGTGACTTTCGGAAAATCGACGCTCTACGGTATTCAAATTTTAAAAAATATAATTTTGTAAACATTACACATCAATTAATTAAAAAATCAATGATTTTATAATATATATGTATATACACATGCAGACACATTGTGCAACAAAAATTTAATCCTTGTCTATTTTAAAAAATTATCTACTCACAAACGTTGAAAAATTTTAGGAGTCAAATTTCATAGATTTCTGAATAATAAACTGCATCATTAATAAATTTACGATAAAAATTAATGAATTAATGTTTAAAATATAATTAAATTAATATTAATGAACAATTTAAGACTATTAAATATTACAACAATGAGAAACTTTCCATTAGAAGAAAATCTAAACAGTTCTGGATATTCTCTCAATTTTTTTATATATAAAAATATTTACATGAAATGAAATTTGAAAAATATTATCCTAGATTTATATAAATTATTTAATATATATGATTATTACTAATTATGTATATAGATTAAACACATTACAAACTAAACATACTCTATTAAATTACAGAAATGATTTACAATGATATGTAACTTATTCTTGCTAGTTTTAAAATAATTATGTATATAATATTATTGTCATTCTCACAATCAACATCAATTCAAATATTGGCGGCATGTAGGACAAGTTCTCCGTCTTTGTAACCATGGACGAAGGCAATCGGGATGAAAAATATGTTCACAAGGTAACTGCCTATATTGAAAGAAAAAGTTCAATTACAATATATCAACATTTCAAACAGTCATAACATTTGTATAGTCCAGAGTTCAAATAAAAAAAATACTAATGGTCATATTCTGCAGGAATGGTTCAACACAGTGTGTCAAAAGATTATAGAATGATGATGAATGTACATAAATCAAGTAATACAAAACACTAATAATTACAGTAGACCCCCCTATAACATGGGTTCCTATGATGCAAATTCCTATAACGCGGCAAAAAATTGCGACGGCATTCATATAAAGACGCTAAAAGTAACGCGTAAAACGTTATTGCCAACTCGTGTCGTGACAGGATTGGTTGAATCTGGACCAACAGTAAATGAGCAGCTGAACTACTTACATGCTATGGAGAGTTTAGACAGGTAAGTTGAGTTTACTATTGTCTATACAGTATTATTATCATCTGTACAATATTAACTTAATTTATTTTAACTTTATTATAATTATATATATACTTTCCACCGTCCAGAGCCACGCTACGGAGAGTTTAGGCGAGTAAGTTGAGTTTACTATCGTCTGTACAGTATGTAAATTAGGTATTGTAAGTCTAATACAGCACTGTAATTTTATACATTTCTTGTGAAAGAAACATTCTTATTCAACGGCCATAAAAATTATTTATATTAATGATGACTCCAAAGTTCAACGAATTTTTTGCAGAAAAATAACTTATCGGCTCATGTATTTAAGGATTCCTACAACGCAAAATTCATATAAAGTAGAACGTATCTACCACATTATAGGAGGGTTGACTGTATATTATTAATTTCTTTTTCTTTATTTATTTTTATAAACACATGTTAGTACCATAGTTTAATAGCATAAATCCTCCTAATAAACAAACCTCTGAAAAATTTCAGAAATTTTTGACAAAAAGCCCAGGAGTTATTAAGCTTCAGAGGGTGAACAAAATCATGCCACCCACCCACCACACACACACACTAACATCCATATATGCAGAAAAAACCCCAATATTGTTTTGCATTTCTTGACATTTCAAGGTGTCCTAAGTCTAAAAATGTAAAAATCTTGAAGGGTCATTTTTTGACCAATTGCCATACTTTCAGTCTGTTAAACAGCCAAGAAAGAAAAAGAAAACGGCTTTTGCAAAATTGAAATTTTAAACACATTAAAATTTCAAGAACCATATTTTCAAGAATTTCAAGAAATTTGTTTATACATATCAAATATGTATAAACTCTATTTAAATTAATTAAAAGCAAAATTGCATCATTGTCTATGATGTGACAGGAGACACATTGATAAAATAACAGTTCTTCAGATTAAGTGAATGAATTTAGCATGTAAAACAGCATAAAACAAATTTTTAATTTATTATTCAAAAAATTTATATCTTTTATTTATTGTTTTTTTTTGTCNTAAACTGTAGAAAGTATTCATTAATTGTGTTGAAGCAGCCCTGATGCAAAACAATTGTAAAAATCATAGAACACTCATAAATGAAATAGCAAAATCATAAGGTTTAATTATAAATAAAACTGATCTTTGCAGTATGTATGTAATAAATAAATACAGTATAATATAGTTCTTTTTTGCTTAAACTATTTCAGTCACTAGATAAATATTAAGTGACTAGATAATTATTAATCTATTGAATTTAATTGATTATTTTTACTATCTTTTGTACCTACCTGTTAACAATAAGGAGCCAATAGATTATAATTCCTGAAAAACCTATTCATTATGAAATGGAGTCCACAATTGAGTAAAGTATTATGCAGAGAATCTAAATTCTGATCAAAGCTCCAAAGCAAAGATTTTTGGAAGTTATCTCCAGATTCAATCACACACATTTAAAAGAAAGATTAGAGATGGGTAAATATCACTTTTCTTGGATTCAAACATTCGAATACTCCAAATACTTAGTTAACTTAATAACCTTATATAACTTAATNGACCAGTTTATATATATTTTAAGGAAAACTGCATCAATAGTTATAAAATTAAATAAACTTGCTTACACAAATTTAGATTTTCACAAAGAAAAGTATTCCAAAAATTTAAATATTGTTACTTGAAAAAATTGCTGGTAAGCTCATTGTTCTTTCAGTAATTCAGTAAACAAGTTTTCCCACGCTTTTATATTCCACTTTTTTCCGTATATATATTAAATGTGAAAAAAATTACTCGGGCGAAAATCAGTGTACTCGAATTTAGAACTATAGTATGTATGTATATAAGTAAAACCTGTCTAAAACGGAATCTGCCAAACTGGAAAAATATCCCGTATGATTCCGGTTTTATATATATATATAGTATATTTAGTTGTTTATATAATACATTTAGATTAGACAAGATTGTTTAAATTAGATTCTATTGTAAATAACAACAGTATGGGAGGGTATTCCGGGTCCAAAAATCCTGTTATATTTGTAAACTAAAACACAAGTTTTCTCGATTACTCTTTCACAAGTTAAAAACACCGTTGTTGGATAATAATAACTATTTTGTAAGAATATTCATGAATCACGCCTTGACAATTGCAAAAAACTGCAACATCTGCAACCACTAGAGATTTATGCAAGCAACCAATCATCATAAATTGCTCTGAACTGTGGCAATTATCCACACATTTCGTAAGTTTCGGATGGTAAAAAGTACGATTAAAATTTATTGATATCATATATTCTTTTAAAATATTTTTTATCATTACATACATTAAATGAGACGACTCGAGCGGGTAATCAGTTATTTATTATCAGAAGTGGTTTAACGTGAACGATATTCCCTTTGTGATATAGTTTGTTCTACATATACTATAGAGATTAAATTCCATTCTCTGGTTATTCAGCCAACTTAGTACATGACCTAACAATACTAGCGGATGAATCCAAATAAATACATCAGTGAAAAGCCGTGTTTAACATGCGAAGGGTCTTCGAATTCCTGGCATTCATGGCAATATAAAGGAAACAGTGAAAAGCCCTCCATCCTTTCATCCGTGACTCCTTTGAAAAATGGCATAAAAAACACAAATATACCATTTGAGTTTTTTTTTTACGTTGACGCATTCGATATCTATAAAATTTGTACTGTTTTACATTATTTTGCAATTTTTTACGTTATCTACACGATAACGATTGCATAGTTGGGGAGAAAATGATATAATGAGAAATAAATATTACACGATTCTATTTAGAAAAAAAAACAACTACCTGTAGATTTGGGAGCCTTTTCTCATAGTTTGAAATCTAAAAAAAGCGCTAAACACGAATCCACGTCGGTGCAGCTTAGAGGCACAACACAGGGTGAGATGTAACAGAAAGGAACAATGAGGAAGACTTAGATTTCGACTTGAGCTTTTTTCATTACTTGTGTCATAAGGCACGGGTTCCTACCCACCCCGGGGCAAGGACGCCTCTCGACTCGACAGCATTCTTGCACACGCGGTGGATACACACTCCTCCACGCTCATATTTCTTAGAAAACAAGTATAATTCCTTCGGTTGAAGGGATTTTCTTCGTAACAATGAGTTATTCTATAAAATCATCTTAAATGACTTCCACAAATATGTGCAAGGGCTCGGAATATGTGCAATATTATACATATTATTATTATTATTATATATTGATAATAAGATAACCGTAATTCATTGTTCCACATGGTCGAGTGACTATAAAATTGTAATGACGATTGTGACGACGATCTCTTAATACAAAACATCGGTCCGTATGATGTCATTCAAACACTGCCCAGATGTCTCGTTAATTAGTGAACAAACAACACCCTCGCTTACTCAAATTATAATTCCAATTTTTCTTTTAAATCTTTCAATAAAACCTATCACATATATCATTATAATATCTAAGAAGCCATTAAAATACGCCCTACTGTATATCTTATCTAAATAGAAAAACAAAAATTAATAATAATAATAATAACTTATTCTTACTCTTAGGGATCTGAATAGATATTTTCTCAACGGGTGTTGTTCCGTCCTTAAACTATTATTTCTTAACTTAAACATTTTTATGATATGACGTCCTTCGCCATCATCCTTTTTATAACTTTAGCAATATTAACCTTTGAACCTCACTCGCGATTACAAACACCAACTGAAACTCGATTCCTTAAACTATACCAAATGACTGAAGGCGAAACCATTTTCGATCCTTCTAACTGGCCATCTGTTACCGTGTTACTGATTGTGTTATTGAATGCTCTGCTAGAAATTAAAGCCGGTGATAAACAGGTGTCTTATATTAGGTGTCACATTCATCCTAGTTATCAGAAGTAAGGTTAAAATAAGAGGAAAAAAAAACAGAGCAAAACTCCGCCTTTTGTCAATGAGGTAATTTTTCTCTTAAAAAATATTTCATCCTCTTAACTACTTAAATTACTGTTAACAAGACGGATATACTTTAAAATTAATCTAATTTATATACATATAATAAATTTCTATAGGTATTTTTAAACAAAGTTATCATCATAATATGCAATTTGATAAAACTGTCACGGAATATATTATGAAACTATGCTTAATATTCGTATTATCTTCGTAAATTTTTCCTCGCAAGTTACATATATTATCCAATTTTTGTATTTTCTTACCCTTTTCTATTCGTAGAAATAGTTGATGTCATTCATACGTTATTTCCAGATGTAAAAATCATATCCATACATACACACACACTACTGACATGTAAATATATCAAATTGCCCGTATCGTATGAATACATACAAACAGACTATTATATTCCTCACTGTTACACTTCGGCAAACATACAAAAACAACTTTTATCTTCTTTTCTTTATCTTCAAGTAGCAGACCAAACCCAATGAATTAATTTCACGCTTAGACATTTATTTTTCTCCCTCTCAATTATCATCATCATCTTTTTTTGTACATAACGTTATACCGAATAAATGAATTTAATAAGAGATGATTCCAAGAAAATGTAATAGCATAAAAAACTCGCTTTTATTTATTGTTTTTTTTTGTCCAAAGTTTATTAAGTCTGAACTTAATGAAACAATAATTTATTACTTTAAAATAAGCAAACAAACCTGATATTATCCCTTTCCTTGAATTGTTCGCGACATATAGCACAGATTTCCACATCATCGCCAACAGCAAGTGGACCACACTGATTAATGGCATCAGTACTCCTGGATATGGAATTTGTTCCAGACTGTGAAGGTAACTGGAGCGTAATATTTATACTAGATTGCTGTCGTTCATTATTCCTCTGTCTTGGTACTCTCCTGGTTCTACGATTTCTTAGCTGAAAATAAAAGAATGAGGTTATATTATATTCATAGATTCTAAATTTATCTTTCTATATTTAAGAAAATAAAAATACTATTAGTTTCAACATATTTCACACATAAACACTAAAACACCTACAGTCTTTTAGAATTTCAGTAAACTATAAGAATATTTTATCATTTTTCATGGAAAACAAAATTAATTCTTGTTTGTTCTAATACTGTGAAAATAATCTAATTTGTAACATTCTCATTCATCTCAACGATATTAAAATATGAATCAAACTATATATTTTGTAATAAAATCTATCATATTATTCTGATGAATTTTGATATTTATTTATAATGCATGCATGCACACTAAATCTTTACCTAACTTACTTAATAATAAAACTGATGTAAATATGCAAAAATCTTGTGGTTTGTTACTGGTAAATATCAAACTTGCATAAAGCAACAAATTCAAGTTTCTTTCAAATTTAATCTGATGCTGGTTGATATTCTAAAACAATTGTGTAAATGAAGAAAATTGAAATATATCTGTTGAATTATTTATAATAATTCAAATCAAAAGATAAAATAAGCATCTTTTGATTAGACTAATTTAAAATCACTAGTGTATTCTTCTATAATGTATGATCCTCTCTCAAACTTATTTGTTCATATGGTCTTTGATTGTGACCTAAAGGCATCTCTAGTGATACAGTGTCCCTCTACACCAGGTAAACTAAAGACAGGATACCTTTGCACACTTTTTTATAGGCCAAGGGGGCACACTTTAATGCCCTCTGCTGGCATTATGCAATGAACCATCACTCTATAACTAAACATTTCCATATCTGCTTAACTCCTTGTTAATATCCTTGCATATCTGCTTAAATCTGCATGACAACTCCTCCTTGGTATGCTAATTTTTATGGCATGAGTTTATTTTCAGTGTCAAGAACTTGGATCTAGGCATACACATCATTATTAATTATAATTACTTTTAAATCAAATTTGAAATGAATATGTAAAGTACTATATAAAGCAATATGCTTTGAATATTAACTATTATTTTTTTTAAATTTGTTTCTCTGACTTGAGATTGGTTTTCTATTCCTTTCTAGTACCCCCTTCAAAGAAACGATATTTACATTTTAAAATTTCATACTTGATAGTAAATTAAAATATATAATATAACTAAAAATGTTATAGATAAACACTTACTTGTACATTTGATCGTGGATAAAGAGAAATATCTCTCAGATCACAAAGTAATTCAAGTAATATCTGTTGAAACAAATCCTACATAAAAAATTTCAATAATTAAAAACAATTATTTATAAGTAATTTTTGGTTTAAAAAATCTTAAAAATGACTTCATCTTTAAAAAATTATATATATAAAATTTAAAATACAATAAGCAGATAAATGTAAAATATATAATAGAATCGAATATTTTCCCAATATTAATACTGTACAACCCCTCCTTAAATGAATTTCATTCACCAATAAGAACTTCATTGAAAATAAACATTTTTGCATTGTACTACGAATTATTTTTATAACAAAAAGTAATTTATTATAAAGATAAATGATCACATAAACATATCAAAAAGATTTAGGGAAACTACATTGCTATTAAATAAAATATGTAGTTTATAATCTGAGAGACTTTGCAACATATTTCTTTGAATTTCATTCAATGTGTTAAGATTCTGTAATCATCATGGAATAGCAGACCTTTTCATTTTATAAAAGTTGCAAGGTGCATGTAAGATACAAACTTCTGCAGCAACTGCATGGAAATTTTTCCCCATTCTTCACTTAAATATATATGTAATTGTTCTAATGTGCAAGGACAGCATTGAGTCATCTTTCTTTTCAGAAATCTCCATACTTTTTCTATTGGAAACAGGTCTGGGTTAGATGCTGGCTGGTATATAATTAATTAAACTACATTCAAGCTTTGGTTTTCTTAGCATTGTGCAGACAGGCATTGTGTTGCAAAATACAGGCTCGTCTTTAGAAAAGTTTACATTTTTATTTGCATAGATATTGCTGAAGAATCAGAATATAGGCTTGAGATCATAGCACCAGTCCATTTGCATTCATGCATCCCCAAACAATTAGAGACTGTGGCTTCTGGACTCATTTTGAATAACATGCTGGATTATTAGTTTCATCTTTAGTACAAATGACTTTTTTGTCACATTCCCATCCATGGTTTACAAGAAATGATTCAACCAACCATAGTATTTTCTTCCAATCAACGTTTGTCCACTTCAGCTTCAGATGAGTTCTGGTCCAAGCTAAACATCTGCGCTTGAATGATTCATTTATGAGGTTTTTTCCCTTGGATCGATACAGCCTGTATTTGCATCATTGGATATATCTACACACTGTGTATTCAATATAATGGAATATTAAAGTATTTCCTTGCCCTTTTTTGTCAAATCTTATATGGAAGCTTGACTGTTTTGGGAAATATAGAATTGAAAGAACTGTAGTTATCTGAACTGAGAGGTAATTTTCTACCTAAAACTTTACCTGAACAAATGTTTCCCTTTTTAAAAACAATTTACAATTCCCTAGACCAAGATATCTGCACAATCAACAATTCTGCATTGAGAGGCTCCTTTATACTTCTGAATAATAATTTTCCTGATTGGTTCTGGTATGGTCTCATTATTTTTCATATACATTAATATGAACAGCTGAAAATGACTAGCTTATTAAAAGCAATATGTGTAAGATAAGAAAAACTGAGAAATTTCAGAAAATTCTCCAAAACTTTTTCTGAACAAACTTCATTACTTTGTGTTGCCAAGTGGTTTACAAGATTGCAGAGTTATGTATTCCAAACTAATGAATAACTTACTACCTTGCATTCAAGGTAGTAAGATAGTGAAATGAACTTTTTTATTTACAAAAGGAATTATTGTATATTTCTGCAGATAAGACAATAGTTGAATCATAAAAAAAAGGCCCACCAAAATCCAGAGTCATCTTATAGGACAGATACAAAGAAAAATTAGATTGAAATTTATATAAATTAAAACCATTATGAAAAAATAGAATAGTCTATACAATGTTTTTGCAAATAGTGAAGGTCATTACCCAAATGCCTGAATCAGTGTGAATGTTTGCAACAATAGCAAGGCATTGCTGCCAGATGCAAGAAAATAAAATTTGTTCATTCAAAAAATTACAAATAAGACACAATTCCATATACACGATACAGTATTATTATCCATATGACGATTGTTGATCTAAACTAAATTCATAGGCCATTGATAGTTTGGGGGTCGTCTTATAGGACAGATATATGCTAAAACTATAAAACTTTGATAAAATTTATACCTCATCTTATCTGCAGAAATATATGGTATTTATAGCACTTGGTTTAAATATGTATGCAAGTGTTTTTAAGTTTATGTAAATTTCTACAAGTTTAAATGATGAATAAAGTTCATTGCAAGCAAGGCAAAGTTCATTGCAATTGTATTTTAAGATTGTCAATGATTACAAATGATAGACTACTGTTATTATTTTTTATTTTATTTCATAAGAGCAAATATGAAAACAGAATATGAATATTATCAGAAAAGTTATATGAACTTCTGTAATATTGGTAACTACTAAATATTAAGAACACTGAATTCAGTTTTATTCCTACTATAAATCTGCTTATACTAAAAAATATTTAATTGGAATTGCTCCGTCAGGACTTATAACTTTTCTTTCTAGTGGGTATGGAGGAAGAAGTACAGATTCGTTTATAACAAATGATTGTGGGATTCTGCAAAACTGGAGAAGGGAGATATTGTTATAGCTGATAGAGGGTTTCCTCAAATTAAATTGGCATTCGAAAATAAAAATTCCATTTTAATTATGCCTTCTTTTCCAAAACCAAATCAAAAGCAGTTTAGTAGTAATGAAATGAATGAAACATACAAAATTGCTCATGTAAGAATTCACGTTGAGAGAGACATTGGTAGAATTAAAATTTTTGAAATACTGAACTGTAGATTACTCATTTCACTTCTTCCATATGTAGATAAAATAATGTTTGTTTGTGCAATATTAGTAAATCTGCAACCACCAATTATAAATGAGTGAAATTTTTTTATTGTGAAAACACTATAAAACTTAATATTTAAATACTATTTACAATTGCAGGTAAATAATACTTAAAGTAGAACATTTGCATCTTCTCTAATAGTGAATAAATGAATGTCTCATTATTTTCCACTTTAAGGGTTCAAATGGAGAAGTAACCCTTCGGATTTTTCTCCTATGTGTTATGTAAATATTTTCCACCAGGGCGGCACGCGAGTAACTTGCACTCGGACTCTATTGGCCACATGAATTTTAAATTTGATATTCTAAACGCAATAAGCACGTGCAACTCAGACGAGTGCTGATTGGCTAGTGTATGTCAGATTACCATGCCTCAAGGAATTATCAAGCATTAAAAGATGATATAGTCTAGAATTTGACATAAATTCAATGATTTGTTCTGCATTTGGTCCTCTCAGTAGTCGTCACCGATAGTAACTGAGTCGGCTCAGGCACTGAACAAACACGCGGTCAGTTCCTTACCTGTTTCGGCAGCCATCTTGGCTCAAAAACAGCGCGCTCTGTCGGATTTGGCGCTTGCCAGTGGAAAGTAAACAGGATGGAATACATCCTGTTTACTTTCCACGACAACCCAATAGCTGGACATATCATTTTATTGGCCGGAAATGACAAAAGAGATCAGAAATTATTGTCAAAGCTGCGCTAAGCACCGACGACGAGAACAAGCGGAATTACAATTATTTGCTTCCCTTTCTCACGTGTTCGAACGAACCGCTATGGACATTGTCAGACAACTTCCTCTTACTACTAACGGAAATAAATATATCCTGGTATTTGTTGATCACTTCAGTCGGTATGCGGAAGCCGCTACCTGATTTCAACAGCAAGACGATTGCGAAAGCATTCGTCACTCAACGCCGACTCAATTATTATTTAACCGATAGAGCACCGAACTTGATCTCTAAAATGTTTATGGAAGTGTGTACTCCTCACTACAGCCTATCATCCCGCCTATAATGGTGTTGAAAGACTTAACAAGACATTAATCGATATCCTATCTCATGTGTCTAAAGACCAACGAGATTGGGACGAATAGATCCCCTATGCTTTTTGTTCGCCTATAATACGTCAGTACACGCTTCTATCAACGAAAGTCCTTTTTTCCTTCTATAAGGGAGAGACCCTACTTATCCATTCGACCTAGTCACGAGCCCTACTACAATATCCTACGATATAGAAGATAACTTTGCCTCCGAATTACCACGCGTGACATGAAAAAAAAAACTTGGGTCTGGATAGGAAAAAACCCAGATTATTTACCCAGAAAAATTCATGATTAAAATGTAATTAAAAATTCTTTATCATAGTACATTCATGCTGTTATAATTACAGACACTATAATACAAATTAAAAAAACCATTTATTACTTAATTTACACGGTAGTTATTGTTATTTCACAGCTACTCTGTTCTTCTTTTTCCATTAGCAGTACTCCACAATCTTTATGCTCTTCTTGTCGCTTCTTATATCTTTGGTGCCAAACTGCATCTCTAATTAGTTCAGGTTTGGGTTCATACAGTGAACAGCTAAAATTTTTCCTACTGATTGCTTGTTTAGCAAGCAACCTGATCTTTGATGATTCAATACTGTAGTTAAGTACCTGGAGTTAAGATGTTACTGTTTGTGTCGTGATAGCAAATCATTGCGGGGTATGATTTCATAGCTTGAGTAAGTGCTTAAGTGTATCCGAGTCTTTTTAACTCCACATGATTTAGGATTCAGCGAGTAAAGTACCATGCTTTTCGTTTTTGTTTCTAAAATCTAAATTTTTTTATTATTTAAGTTATTTCAATAAATATAAAATGAATTATATAATTATCTTGTTGCTTATGAGAATTTATCTTCAGAACAGAAAATGACGACATTTTTCTTCCTGACAGTAACTATGAATCAGATCATCTGAGAATGCAGTCAGTCATAGTGAAGCAGATACCAAATAGTTACCGGCAAACAGAATCATCTGTCATCACATTCTGTGTAATTTATTATATGTAAAAATGGAACAATCAAATGGTATAAAGAACCAATGTTCATAGTACAAATGACTATATAACATTACTGTGTATTGATTTTTTTTCTATTGATTTGTTGTAAAATATGTTTAGGTGATTACATTTTAAAAGTATAACGTAGTTTGATGCTAAACTTTTTTTTAATTCTTC